GCAGATGCTTTCTCTATCAGTTACAAGACCATACCCAAAAAAATTCATGGATTACCTCGTGCCAATTGTAACGATGAGGGTTGCGCACACGAGTGTCCTCAACAGAAAATTAAATCGTGGTATTTGCAAATTGTAAAGGAGATTATTTAGCAAAACTACAAAGAGTGCGTACATTTTCCTGAGAACGATTTGGGTAAAAGACAATAAATTCGAGGTACGCAGATTTTTTTAGAGTTAAACTACACATTCTGAAAATACTAAGATAACCGCAGCTAGCTACGAGAGCCTACAAGACTTTAAAATACTTTAGATATAATATATTTAAGTTTTCAATCCGTTTTATAAGTAAAGCTGAAATTTATATGAACTCTTAGTTATATGCACAGGTTACTCGTAATTGCTTAAGTAATAAATCTACTAATCTAAATGAACTATATAATTTTTTTGTCACTCCCGCTGTTAGCATTATTAAATGACTGGCTATAAAAAAACGGTTTTGTTTGCTTGTCTCAACACCTCCGTGTCGATGACACTTACTATTTGTTAGTGTCTATTTAAGAGATACTTTAAGTGATCTATGTTCAAACAATTTTTATTATACCCATCGTGTAATACTTTAAATATTGTTAAGTAGGGTTCAACGTTAAACTAAATTAATTTGTGATCTATTTTTAAGTAATTTTTTTTATGTGCGTATTGTGTCATTACTTTGGATAAAGTCAGGGAGACATCAACGGTGTTAATAAAATAAAAATTAAGTGATTTTAGAGTAATTTATATTATACATACTGTGTCACTAGCTTAGAGTCAATTATAAAACAATAGTGTCGACAGTAAGACGAGAACTAACATCTGAACTCTGGATAGATGCTTGCTTTGTAAGATATTTTTTTTAATATAACTTAAAAAGTTTTCTAAGGTCTGCGCTCGACTTACTTTAACAATCTTATAGCTCTGTAGTCTAAGTTTTATGGGTAATGTAGATAGATTGCGTGGAACTTGGGGGCTTAAAATGTATAGATCACCTTATGTAGACCCTCTACAGGGTAGTGGATGTTTGTATTTTTAAGTAATTAGTTCTGTTAGGTAGTATGTTCGTTCCTATTTTTATAAATAATGCCCCTAATATTATTAGCAATCTTTTAGGTTTATAATTTTCCGTTTCCTTCAGGTTTTAATTGATTACTAAACCCTGCAGTGAAAAAGGACAGCTCTAAAACAAAGAAACGCGTACTAGGAGAAAAATACTGTCTTACATTTTCTATATTTTTCTTTTATTTCTTTCACTGGCATACTACGGATGGCCTTTGTAAGAAGTCTTAAGTTGCTTAATTTTAACTCCCCTTTCCTGCTGGAGTTAAAGCACCAGTGCTTATCAATGTATGCTCTTTATAGAGCTATAAGGGCCCGGAGGACTGAAAAAGAGAAAATATCCGGTCTGAACTTTCACTATTTGACCTGGTGTGTGAAAAACCGCTAAAAAACTACCGCCGGGAGAGGCAGCCTTAGACATAAGACGTCAAGGCCACCTGGAGATATCGGCTAGCACCACTACCAGTCAGGTCTTCCGACTTTCCTACTTTTATTGTGTTTATATATATATGGCCCGCTCGCGCGATAACCATTTGCTTTTTAAATTAAATGTTTTAAGTAATTACCATTTTCGGTCTTTTAATCTAAAAAGTTTATTACTAGCTTTTTAAGTCTTTAAGATTGGTTACATCCCTAACACAATTCCTTAAAGCAGGGCAATGACCTTTTTATATTCTATCTACGTGTTCTATTATATTCGATTATTAAAATTATACTACGCAAGAGGGCTATTGCCTAACAAATTAAAAATATGAGCTTATTTTTTTTAGGTAGTACGTAACTTTAAAACTAACAAAGTACTAAAAATGTACATTACTCCTGAAGGAAAACTTAAACTAATTTATCTAAATACTTTATTCTGAAAGTTCTTTATAACTCAAGGTAATTAACAAACTTTTATGAAAATTTACATATGATAACAAGCATATGAAATAGTATGTTATAAATTTGTATACTGTTTTAAGCGGAAGTAAAATAAAAGTTCAACATAACCGGCAAAAGATAAGGCTACTAATGCCATAACTTTAATATTAAGCCAAGAATTACTATTATTTAAAATAATACTTGAAAAAAGTTTAATAATTTATTATTTAAAAATAGAGGAGCGGAGAAAAGAATAAGAAAGAAAATAGTCGACACAGAAAAAACCGCAAATTTCCTTGAAAGGCACGACATGTGTACCCAGCGCAAATAACATCCCGTTGTGTGTTGCGGTTCCTTCTCTGTATAATATAACTTTAAAATTTATTCGGGTATTGGCTAACGTTATGAAGCCGAAATCTCATAAAAAAAGGTCAAAAAAGAGATTGAAATCGAAAAAGTTAAAGAAAACTAAAAAAAATAGTTTAAACAAAAAAGTTAACTCGTTAGAACGGTTGAAAGGAAAAGAATATAATAATTTGGAGAATTTAAAAAAAGCTCAAGTGGTAGACCTAACAAATGTCGAATGTTCAATTATTAAAATTTATAAACTTAGCTAACTTTTTTCTTTTAAATGCTTTTACAAGTTTACTTTTAACTACATTTATTCTTTTTAAGTATTTTAAAACTTGTTTTTTTGCTTTTGTAAAGATTTTTTTCTACGAGTAAAACCCTTTTTTATATAAATATTAACACAAAAACTTTTTTTTTTAGCTATAGAAAGAAGGCTACCTGGAGTCACTCTCCCCGATCATCTGCGCCACTTGATTGAGGAAAATACTGAAGAAGAAGATTTTATTGGGCCCAAACAATTCGACCTTACAAGTTATAATGAAGTAAAGTTTTAAAAAAATAACAATAATTTGTTTAATAATTATAAGCTCGAGACTACTTTATCAATGATGCCTTATAATACTGTATATTTTAAAATTATTTGAATCACAGATCTTTAGATTTTAAAATTATATTTTTTTATAATAAGGATATCTGTGATAAAAGAATATTGTTAAAATTATATTTAAAAAAAAGTTAGTATTTTTTAATTACTTCATATGTTTTTTTAACAAATCTATCTGGACTTTAATGAAAATTAAAATAAGTAATTTTTTTGTTCTATTTAAATAGTTATTATTTAAATAATTATAGTTTTTTGGTAATTGTAACTGTCCAAGTATTCATTTACTTTTATTTATGCTGTGCTTTTGCTTATTAGAACTTTTGACATAAAAAATTTCTTATGCTTTGCTATAATAAAAAGTAAAAGTAATATAACTATTATTATTTAAAAATAATTTTAGTTATAATTGAAAGGTAATTCTTTTAGAATTTTATTATAACATATTGCAAGTGAGTAAATATTTATAGTTTTATTTTATTTTATAAATGCTTCTTTTTCGATCAAGCTTTTAGTAATCAAAAATTAATCCAAATATTTTTAAAGTAAAAGTGACTTTATACGTGGATTTATAGACTTTTATATTATAACTTTTTTGAGATTTACTAACTTTACAGAAAATTTTTACCAAAGAAAGTTCTGAAAAGGGTTCACGAAGAACGTTTGATGTTCCTTTACTTTCTGTGTGTCCTTTTAAAATTTTATTAATTCAGTTCTTTTAAATGTTTCTTATTATTAAATATATAATAGTATATAATAAATTTATTTTGTTAATTTAATTTTTTTAAATTTATTTATATCTTAAAATTATTATTTAAGTCATAATATATTTTAACTTGAATTTATTTTTCTTAAAATCTCAGATTTTCTACACCTTCAAATTTTTTTTAACTTTATTATAAACTTATATAGAATCCACTATAAAATATTAACATAAATATGATATGTAATGTGAATAATCAAAAATATAAAAACTATAATAAAAATGATAACTTACAGGTTGTAAAATGTATTTATACTTAAAATATATGAAGAAATTAAAAAAATGAAGTTTGGCTACTTTAAAGGAGAAATTTAATCATATTTAAATCAAATAGAAAAAATTACCTTAAGAAAAATATTATAAAATATTATTATTTTATTTCCTCGAGTTTATTAAACTTATAGAAAATATGAAAATGAAAATATATAATTAGTTTACTTTAAAAATAATTAATTATAAAAAAGTAGAAGAATTAAATGAAATTGACTTTTATATAAGAAATAAAAATATTTATATATATTTTAATATAATAAAAAAATAATCATTTTAGCCCCTAAATTTTTGATTTATTTGAATTATATTTATAATTACTTTTGATAAAAGTTAATGTTTTATAATATATCAATTTATTTTTATTTTAATTACTTAAAATTACTTTCCTAAATTTATTATTAGTGTACTAGTTTTATAATAAATTTATTTTATATTCCATTATTATAGTTCTAAATAAAATATAACTTTTTTATTTTATTAACAATTATTAACTTATTAAAATTTAATTTATAATTAATTATTTTTGCATTCATACAGATGAACTTATTTTTTAACTTTTATTATAAATTTTTTTAAAAGTTTAACGTATTTTTTGATTTTTCCTTAAAATTATTTATTTATACTTATTTTGGTTTTTTTAATATAATTTATTTTTTATTACATTTTTAAATATTTATTATTAGAAAATTGTATTTTTTTCATTATTATTTACTCTTTTAGTAACTAAAAACTTTAATATCAATTTTTTTTACTATTTATAGTTATTTTTTATTTAATTTTAATTTATTTCGAATATTTTTTCATGCCTATTCAATTGCGTTTCAGTTAATATTTTTTTTCTTTCAATTTTGTTTATAAATAAAAAATTTTTGTCTTCTCTTCCGGCCTTAATATTCTTGTTTACTTTCGATATGTTTTAAATATTATTATAGCAATTACTATTATTTACTAAACAAAGTTTATTTCTTACTAATTTTAAAATTTTACTTAGTTATTATTATAGAATAAATTAGTGCATGATTTATGCTAAGGTTAACTAATTATTATTATACTCAGCCTAAAAAAAAGGAAAGAGAAACTTGGATGACTGAGCTTCCTCCAGAATTTCAGCTCCCCTCTGGTTTTGTTTGTTTCTATTATTAAATTATAATTTGAAGTTTGAAATCTTTTTTATAAAATTTTATATTTTTTTTTTACTATATATATTATATTTTTAGTTACACGAAATTTATATACAATTTTATAAAAGAGTTTTTTATTATTATATATTTAAATTAACTATCAATAGTTAGTTTTTAATTTTATAAAAAAATGGTTTTTAACTTTATTATAAAAACATGTTTAAATTTTTATAATGTTTTCTAAATGATTTCTGAGTATTTAGATATTAATTATTTTTCTATTTAGCTTTTTATGAATTCTACTTTAATAATTGGTTTTATATTTTTTTTAATTTTTTTAAGATGTAAAATCTTTATCTTTTTTTGGTATGAAGAAGGGTCGTCGTTATTTATTTTTATACATAACATTTAGCAAAATATTCAAAGTTTAATAATTTGTTTGCTAATATTAGTATTTCCTTTAACTATTTTTTATAGTTTTATATTTTTATATAAAAAGTTAATCTATTAATTTTTTTAAAAATTCATTATGTTTAGACTCTTCTCTTATTTTATTGATATTATAAACAAATTTATAATAATTACAATAAAATATAATAATAAAAAAAAATAAATTAATTCAAATTTAATTTTGTAGGAACTCTTCTTACAAGCCGACGCTTTTCGAAAGCCTCAAAGAGCCAGAGAGACCCCACGTGGGCAGAGACACCCACAGATCGGACTTTGAAGCCGAGCCGAGCCGAGCATCCTTCCAAAAATGTTTACTCCAAACGAGACGCGCTCATGTCTGCGTTTGTAGAAGAGTATAACGTATTATTAATTATTTTTATATTTACTAATAGAAAAATTATTAAAATTATTAAAATTATATAAATAAGTGTTAATGTTATACTTAACAATAAACAAAATAAATTATTAAAAAATATTAGCTATTAAGTATATAGTGAAATGTATATAGGGAGCAGTCTCTATATAAATATCAAATATTATTATAAAATAAAAAGAAATATTCATATTTTTTACTAAATACTAATAGTGCTAATAAACCGTACTTAAGTCTTTTATATTTTACTTCTATCTACAAATATAATGGAAAGTTTGTTAATAGTAAACTATTAAAAAAAAATGCGTACATAGCAAAAAAATATATATATAAGAATTTATTATAAGGATTATAAAGAAGAGAATATTAAATTAAAAGTGATAAAAAAACATTTTTTAAAAAAGAATAGTTAAATATAAATTGTTATTTAAAAATTTACTCTTTTATATTTTCTTAAGAATAGTGCTTGCCTGGTGCTGCCTGATTTTCTTTTTTTTAATATTGAAATTGAAAAATTATTATAATTTTTTTTAGGAGAAACAGCGCTCTCAAAGTTTACTAGAAATGCACAGAGGCAAGTTTTTTTTAATGATAAAATATGATTTATATCCGATTACATATAGTACAACTATCTTTTTTTATACTAATGCTTCGTTTTCATGTTATTAAATATTATAATATATTCTAGTTTTTATATGTTTATATATAGTATATATCTATTTTTAAGTCTGCAAAAGTGGAAAAAAAGTAGTTTAGCTGATCAAGTGTAAAAGATACTATAGAAATATATACTAAACGGAATTAAGAGTAGAATTTTTAGACCCCGTGGAGGGTTTTTTTGAAGAAACTGCGAAACGTGCGCACTTTCACAACGTCATGTGAAGCAGTACCTATCATAATAAAAAGCGCGTGCTTTTAAGATATGTTGAGCTTTATTTTACATCAAATCAGCAGAGAAGCGATCGAACACTCTTTTTTTTAGCGTAGAGAAGTGTTAAACAGAACTAAAATAATTTTACTACTTTTAAAAAGCTATAAACTTGTGTATAATACGACTATTTCGAAGTATCTTTTAGTATTATGTCTCTCAATAACGAGATAATTAATAAATTGTTACCTATTGTCTTTAGCAAATAATATTTATTATTTTAGAAAAGTTGAAGAACATTAAAAATGAAAATTTTGAAAAAAAATTTAAGTTTAACAGAGAAGAAATGGGAAGGCGTACAATAAGCGAAGAGCAAGTAGACAGCTTTATAGCGAAAGGAAGCCTTGGTAACAAATTTTCTAGCGGAACTTCTCGTTTTCTTTAGAATTTTAGACAACCCATGAAAAAAATCTCCTTTTACTTGTATTTAAATAAAGGGGTTCATTATTCTCATGCATTACTATTAATAAAGCTATGGCTACATAAAATTACTTTTCTTATAAAAAACTTTTCCTAAAGTTTGGTACAACTCACTTATTACATAAGCTAACCTCACTGTAACTTATTACCTTTAAGTTTATGAGGCCCATAAGTTTTCTCCGGTTTATATATTTTAAATCCAGACTTCTTTCCCTATCACCGAGTATCCAGTACTATTACTAATGTTTGTTAGTAGGACATGCGGACTTTCTTTTTATTATATTTGTGAGTAACCGTTATAAAAAGTTCTTATTGGAAGTAGTCGCATGCATTTTTCATGAGTAGCTGTAATTTCTTAACCAGAATCTTAAAAGGATGAGCACAGTACGCTGAATCTTTAATGGGCCACCCACCGTAGTACCAACCACACTTCTTACGAATTGACTTCCCAGGGTGGTTTGGACGTAATGCATTATGTCAATAGCGTATAATAACCTTAGATGTTTAAAGAATTTAGTTTGTAATAAAACTTTTAAGTAAAAGCTAAAACACCTGGAAACAAAAGCCTTTTATCTAACATTTGTTTGCAAAAAGGCAGGAACAGAGCAATTAAATAAGTTTTTATATTTTTCTTAGCGTAGACCAAATGGTTTGGTTTATAAACTATGAGTCACAAGGGCTAGCGTTTACAATTACTGTTCGTTGAGGGTTTTTCACCGCTCGATACACGTATTCCCTCTTAAAGTGGAACTCGGACATTAACTTTTATAGAAATAAGATATCCATATTTAGAAATTTTAACAATTTTTTGACACAAACCTATTTATTAGTTCAAATTAATGTATTCTAAGCTTATATAGAATAATTTTAATTATTTTTTACTTTGCTATAAAGAAATTTTAATAGTCTTTCTTCTCAAATCTTTAATATAACTGTTTTATTTTTCTTTAATTTGTCTTTAACCCCCATTTAATGGATAAACAAGCCTTTTAATCTTCCTTTCCGCTAGATTATAACAAAAAGTATGATCACATGTTTAGAAAGATAGTTCCCCTAGTTAAGCTTTACCTCTCCAACCCTTTTTTCTACCTTTTCATCTTTACTTTCTAAGTTATATGTTGACCATTTTATACAAATGAGTAGCAAGGAAGAGAAGTTTTACTTTTCTGATTGTTTAAATATGTAATTCTTTTGTGGTCTGTAATTTATGATATATGTATTAAAAAAATATTATCCAGAGCTCTACCTAAATTTAATCTTTAACTAGATTGTTAAAAACTATAAAATTACTAACAAACCACTTTATTATACACGGATATCACTATCTCTGTTGTTGGGCATTGTATACATAAAAAAAGTAAGTATACGAATTTATTATTGAAAAACAAAAACTGCCATCTTTTACATATAGAACCTCATATCGAGAAACCTTCGCATACAGTACTAAGATCTTTATATTCGCTTCTAGTCCAAAGCAAGAGAAAAGTAGGTGCACGCAGTCATATAATAGATTATTTGTTTACAAACAGGAACTGTGTTGTCATCGTTTCTTTTTAAAACAGTTTTCTATAAAAGGGTAACATCATTCCTTTTTTAATTTTTAAAATTGTTACGGCTTAGTAAAAGTTTTAAGACATGGTATCGTGAATCCTTTAGTTGTAAAATAAACCTTTTCTTTTTTATTGTTGTTTCCTGATCTTACACACCTAGTTCACTAAGTTTTAACTATAGCGCTTACAAAAGAGATAGGAACAAATATATTCTTCTTATACCGCGTTAGCATCAAATCCTCTTTGGTGGGCAAGCTTTTACCTAACAATAGTATAACTCGATAGAATCTACGATATTAAAGTATGCACACATACAAATTAATTTCTAAAATGAATGAAATAAATTATAATAGTATGCATGCCTTCTTATACTCGTTTTTTATTTTAATGTAATTTTAAGTCCTATCATTGAGTACGCTTCCGCGCACAGTTCCAATACAGCAAAAAGAAGTGAAACTTAATAAAACACTTTAATCATTTTTTTTCTGAATACTAGCCTTTTTTAGATTTCTTCGTTTTCCTACTGAAAAGTTATTATCAATTTTGAATTTATGGTATATTTTGTATTAAAATCGGGACATATCTAACATACCACATTTATACTAAATTTTTTGGTAAAGCAATACAAATGAATACATACTGGCTTAGACCAACTTTTTTTCGCAAATAGGAATTAACGCTCCAAAGGCGATATTAAATTCTCAGTACAATTTTATCTTCGTAATTTCCTTTTTTAGTGGAAGTAGGCAGTTTATTTAAACATTGTGGTAACAATGTTACTGCTAGATATTTGTGAATGATCAAAAAAGGATAAATTTATGTTATTTTTTACCGTGTCAGTTCTAAACCTCCGCTTTGCGTAGTTCTTACGATTTAACTATAGCTCTTAAATTGTAACTTATAAAAGGAAAAAGGTAGAACTAGAATATTTTTATTGAATTACTTCTCAGTACGCCCGACATATTTTAAGCGAGTATGTCGTTTAAAGTTTTCATACGCTGCTCCAAGCGCGCTTTTATTATGTTTGCAAATATTATAGTTGGCTCCTCTTACAAGTTATGTAACGCAACCTTTAAGTCTAACTTTTAATTGGGGAGTACATTGATCCATAAATTCTCATTAGAGCTTATTTCACTGGAAATTGCAAATAATTATAGTCATAAGTATACAAATGTAGCACAGCACTAACACAGTAGTCATGAGCTGATTTACTGTTACATATGCGATATACTGAAGTGAGTAGGGAATGGAGAGAGAGGTAAGGAAACTATTCAATGGAACCTTCGAACCAAGTTTATTTATTTATATTATTAACCAATCATTTTTACTTTTTCTCTTATTGTGATTCACGTATCGCAAAGATTTTTTTATTTGATAGCAGCTTTAGCATAAACGCAGTTTTACGCAATATTTTTTAATAAAAAGTAGCGACGTAAGTTTACAAACTTAATGCTACCCAAATGATGGCCAAAATTGCAAACAAAGTTGGCAACTCATTTAGAGGTAAGTACATTAATATGTAGTAACTTCATGTTAGTTCATGCGCCTTCTATGCAGATCTTATAGCGCTGTTTAAAAGTAAGATTAATTGAAAAAGAATACCTTAATTAGATTCCTTTACACTCCCTGCTACAAAGGTATTTTTATGCCTCAATAGGTATCTCCAATAGTAAAGGCTTGTTTTTACCAAATGCTTAACTTGGCAATATGCTAGTAAACTTCCCTTTTCTTCCTAGCTAAGGAAGTAACACCTACAGCGGTATTTTAATTTTATCTGAGTCTGAAAAAGTCATTCAAGTCACATTGAAATTGTACTCATAGTTTCAAGCAAAAAGAGAATACTTGCTGAGCGAAATCGAATTCTATATGATTTACCTTCCGCTTTTTCACCTAACGTATTGAGAACAAACGCAGAGTCGAGAGAATAGCATTCAATACTGAACAAAATAACCATCAAAACCACAGGGTCCCGGTAATCTAAATTAGAAAGATGTCTTTGGTATGTTGTAGATAACGACGTTAAGTTATAACTGTAAAACTATTTTAACTAGCAAGTCATTTTGAAAGTCAGCGGAGTTTTTTCTAAAAGCTTAAGCAAATTTAAAGCTCAAGTTTTGAAGTGGTTGGATTGGTTTCCGCATTTTAAGCATGCTGAGCCCAATAAACCTTAAATTTGTAAACAAGGGTAGCTTGTTTAGTTAGTTTAATAGAAAGTCCAATGATGATTACAAGAAATACTTACCCTTTATAGCTTTAGACGCCCAATCGGATTTACTAAAAGACAAGCAAATAACACACCCGTAGCTCAGTATAACTACTGGAAAATTGTGAAGTTGCACTTTAAAACTATGCGATCTAACAGTGGCGCTTATCGTCAACATAGTTGCAATACAAGTTTTAAATTTCAGCGTCGATCCCTATAGTATTAGCGTACCGCGGTAAAAGAATTGGCTAAAATTAATAGAGATACGTGCTACTACCTCCTTTCAGTGCTGTCGCTTGCCTCCTCGGCGGTGACCTCCAGCATGTCTGGTATTTAATAGCACATATCATCAAAAATTATATGAAAATTATGTGCATATTCTAGAGGAAAGTTCTTCGCAGTACACAAGGTATAATTAGGCACCTGATGTTGAGGGATAACTAAATGAAACCCACGCAAAAAGAGAGAATTTTTGGTGGTATAAATAAAACTATGTTGAGCTAGTTTTACCATTATCAAAAAAAGCAGTCCTTTCGAATAGTGCGTCGAGGCATAGAGACTAATGCCTGATTATGAACCTTTACCTAACCCTAGCATTGATCCTCAGCTCCCACAAATTCAATCAGGCCCATACGTTAAAGGTCGTGACACACGTGACAACGACAACAGAGAAAAAGCAAGAACAAATAAACTAAAGTTACTTTAAATAAGACAAACAAACTGTATATATAACTTCAAAAGGAACGATATCATTCTCGTTTGTGTATTTTAGTTTAGATTTAATGAACATGTTTGCTTTAGTTCCGTGAAGGCAACATGTAAAAGGCGGTAATTACCATATTTGAACATTAAGTTTTTGGATAGAATATGTTATACCAAAATGTTTAGAATTTAATTTAAGGTTCTTAATTGGTTTATCTTTAAATAATTTTTTGTGCAGTCTGTTACTTAATTAAGTGTGTATGTTACTTGATACTATGTACGTACGTATACTAAGAATTTGATTTGAGCCGTGCGTAGCAATAACCCAAGTTTGAAACCGAGGAACTTATACCTCTAAGAGAAATAGCTAAACGAGGAGAGCGTATTCAAAAATATTTTTTATAATAGCTGAACAATATATTTTATTTAACAATTTCAAACAATTCATTTAATACGGTAATATAACAAGCGCGCTTCTGTAATCAAGCTTAAATACTTTTATACGGTTTCATTTGATCAGTATACTTTCGCAGCTTGGGAGGATATTGCTAATTGCATTATAGTGTTAAAAAAGCGCTAATTTTATAGTGAAAAACAAAATTTACCCCACGACAGATCCAGCTGCCTTCCTGATCGCAAACCCGGTTGGCTGGATTAGCCACCCAGTCCTTAGAGTCTTGATCCACATTCATCACTTTATAGATCCTCACTTTCCCATAAGTGGAATAGAAGACTTCTCGAAATTTATTGGGATCCACTCGAACATCACCAATACCATTTCTATGCAGTTTATATAGAAGTGAAGCGGCCATGGATGGCGAGGGTGTGTCTTAAAGCGAGATGTTAAGTATATAAACCAAAATATGATGGTCTAAAAAAAAGACCGTAATCAGCATAAAAGCCCAGGGACCTGCAGTACTTCTCTCCTGGACAGATATTTGGATAAACTGATGTGCCAATGCGGACCATATGAGCCATTTTCGCAAGGTCATCTCCTCCTCCGCCCGTCCATACAAGAACGTAGTCGGCCAAATGACGAATCATATCGTGAGCCTCGCTTTCTCGAGAAATCAGGCATCTAGCAAGAGTAGCTATATGTTCATGATTCCACGTGTTTCCATCAGCAATGGACGTGCGATTGGCAATGCCATTTATCTGATAACCGTAATCCCACCAAGCTAGAACCCTCGAGCCGATGGGAGTGTTTTTTTTTAAAAACTGGTAAGACTCCAAATAGTCTTTGACAATCACAACCCGTCCGTCTGAAAGGCGCGCTCTGAATACGATGGAAGGGCCGGACAGCGCGTCCGCCATTTCCCAACTATACTTATAAAAGTCGATACCTGCAACAAGAATACCACTTAGTCCAAACAAGGCGGCAATTCTCTTGATAAGAGGAGCGTATTTGCAGTTATCAAATGCTGTTAAAGGGGTAACACTCTTGGATATTTTTTTGTTTTTTCTGCCGTCAAGAAAAAACTGTAACCAAAGCTGCTCGTAAGACCACTCTATAAAATAGCCCAAGAAGACACCGCAAAGCGCAGAGACAATAGGGCCGAGGAAGATAATCAAACGAACCATTCGAGCAGAAAAATAATAAGCGGCGACGACGTAGCACACAAGGAACATATAGGAGTTTCTTCTACCATTGAGCAACAAAAATAAGAGCCCCAAGGGTGTAAGGTAATAGGAGTAATGAAGGAATTGAAAGTAGGACTCCGAACTGGCAGGCTGGTGTTCTGCAACAGAATCCACCAGTGGGTTACCTGTCTTTGTATGCTTGATAAACAAGCTCTTAACACGCACGCTGAGGCCTGCAAAGTAGCCCATCGGAAATAAGACAAAGTAAACGACGGACACAACAGCCGCCAACACTATAAGGCCAACTTTCGCCCGCAAAATCCAGAGTTGAGTAAGAGAAAGGTTTCTTTTTTTTCGTTGGGTTTCACAAAATTGCAAAATTATGAACACAAAGAACACAAACATTGGACCCATTTGCTCAAGGGACCTAAGAGGGTTTAACCCAACCATTGGAATCTGAATGGCGCCCAGGGTCCCCAAAACAAAAAAGAAGAAGTAAGAGAGAAACAAGCCGGTGGAGTATTTGTTGAGGAGTACTAAAGAAGCCGCATGAACTCCAATAATGTTCAAAACAAAAACGTAACCACCCCAGCTAGCCGCCATAAACACATACAATAGGCCGGCGATAACGGCAAAAGGCCAAGAGGACTCCGTCCTCAGAGAGCGCGCCCAAAAGTAAAAGGTGGCCACCATCACGGCAATAGCCACCGACTCGTTATCGTAGCCGCAGCCGACCGACCGCATTATATGAGCTGGTATAATGGCCATTATAAGAGCAGCAAAAGCACCAGCAATTTTAGAACGGGAACATTCATGCGTCAATAAGCCAGTAAAGAGCGTCGCTGCGACGCCATACCAGCATGGAGTGTAACAGCAGACAGACACAAGAGACATCGGGCAACCTCAAAGTTTAAAAAAATAGATAAGTTAAAACATAAAACTTTAAATATTAGTGAAAAAGAATAATTTAGAGTGGGTTAAGGCTCAGTAGGTATTAAAACAAACCAATGCTATTTACTAAATTAACTTAAGGTGTTTTATAACAATCCAATTATAAAAAGAAGGCAAGCATATTACCTATTTTTTTTAGAAAATAGTATATAAAATAGGAAGATATTTGCATTCCTGGATATATAGTAGTTCCCACAGGTCTTCCCAACGGATACCAAGACTCGTAATCGAACCATGTAAAAAATTTTTTAAATCCATTTAAAACTAGATACCTTTTTAAAATATATAATTAAAATATCAATGAAGGGTGAAGGGAGTACATATAATAATAATTATTATTATGGAAGGTTTATTACTTAGTAGCGCGGAAATTAAACCATGGGTCAAACTCGTGAATCAGTAGTCCGAATAGTTGTATGGGGATCAGACGTATTACGAATGCAAGGTAGCAAGCAAATAATCCGACTAAAAGAGTTAAAAAAACCGAAAATTTGTTCTTCATAGTGTCTACAACCCATTCATCAACAGTTTTACTTTTGCTTGTAAGCGGTTGTTTACCTTCTTTTTGCTTAGATTTTTTTAAATTCTTATGGTCAGAGCCCACAGATTCTTTAGAATTAAGATTTTTGTCTATTATAGAGGATTTTCTATTTTTACTTCCCTTTTTCGCCATTTTTTATATAAGTAAGAGTGAGAAGGTACCGAAGGTCACTAACAAAAAACTCAAACTTCTTTAATCACTATCGTATAAATAGCCCATTCATGTTCTCAGCGTGATTTGTAATAGTGCACGCGTTAGTGATTAACCTCTTTTACACCTTTGTTTTTATAAGGCTCTTGCTTAGACCTCCTATCTCACCAAACTTGGGGAACGTTTAAGAGTCTTCAGGCTAATATTAATTGATAAGCTATTTCTTATTTTTTGAAATGAAAAATGTTTAGAGGCTAAAGTTTTATAAAGAAGGTTATTAATTTAGGTAAATTTTCTTAGGGTATATTGTGTGTTTTCAATTTTTGTAGAAATAATTTAAGCACTAACACTTATATACGTTAAATGACTGACTAATAAGGAAAATGCAACAATGATTGTTCTTCGTGATGTTGATGAAAGGTCCTATACGTGCTAAACCGCTTTACTAACTTTGGTAGTACTAAAAGCCTGCAACCTGGCTACCAATTTTCTTCTAAGTCGAAAATTATGTGCCTTTAAGGCTTTCCACAAAGACCAATTATTACCGGTCAATAAAACATTGCGTTATTGCTGAAGATGTTGTTAAAAAATTATTTGTCGAAATCTTTCACACTTAACGCGGTGCTGATAATGTTACAATCCTGTTCTTTGAATTAAAAATATTGCAGTGATAACGACGATAACAGACCTTAGCACTCGCCAGGTGGAGGAGTTAATAGTAATAGCGTTTTTTCTTTGTGCGTACTCGATAAACTGGAGTAGGAGGGAAGAGATACTCTTATTCACGCATTTTAGCTTCTGCTTCTCTGTCAACTATATTAGGGGTTAAATATACAATATAAAATTTAAGTTATATGAAAGTGAAATAATTTTAATAAGGTAAGGGGATTTTTAAGTCTCGATTATAATTATCTCTTGCCCTTTTAAGGAGGGCGTTCATTTTTTGGCCTTGTGGAAAACCTGACATCTAACAATCTGTAGAAAGATTACCGTAACGTCCTCAAAAAACTACCTTAACAGAATTACTATGAGGTGGCAAACCAACGCACTGTGGAAGTTTAGCAATTCTACGAGTGTTAGGCTGTTCTATGATGAAAATATACGCAAACAATCTACACATACACTAACCCAAGTAAACCACACAGAATTTATAATTAAAAGATAAACCAACTGAAAACATCACAAACTAATATCTCAAAGTATATGCGATTTCAGTCATTATACGGGGACTGAGTAAACCATATATTTGTTGTATACAAAGATGGTAATTATTGACTGACATACCCTTTTAAACGAAACCGATTTAAACATGTTTATTCAAAGAACCCTAATTTTAATCTAAACGAATATTAACGAAAATGCTTTTTAACCTTTTTTTAGGGTATATAAACGGCTTACTTGCCTATAATAAAATAAAACGACCCTTGTGCTATTTTATACCTCTTTCCTTGTGGGTGTTATTATGTCCCGTCTTGTCGATCAGGTGAAACCTTACTCTCCCTTCGTTTCTTCTCTCGAATTAATTTCCTGTCAAGTATTTTCGTTTTATTCAGTTCGATGAACGCAGTTTCAGCTTTTATTTGACGAAAATATATAAAACTAACAAGGTGCTTATACCTACGAGGGCAAAATAGAAAAACGTTCGCATTACCTGTAGGATATAATACATATTTTAACTAAACTAAAAAAAGAATAAAAACCAGATGGTTTGTAGGTCGTGTTTTACAAATGCTAAAAGTCCTCAAAGCTAGCAAGTACTAGGCTAAGTAGGCTACGTATAACTTCAAAGTTGAGGATAAGTATAAAAAATATTTTTTGTATATATATATTTGTTATTAAGATATAAAAACAGAGAGTATGAGCTAGGCATTAGAAAAAGAAATCTTTTTTTTGAGCGAAGGTGTTTAGCCTTGCAACTGATTATACGGTATAGTACTGACTGGTTAACCTGGTTTATAAAACCACAAGAAGTTATGCCGTTCGGGTTTATAGGAAGTATTAAACTGTTCGTTTGTGCAAAAACTAATTTGCACTATATAAAACCGGAAGGGTTCAAAAGATAAAAAAATAAGTAAACCTATCCATTTGTGTATTCATAGCACTGGCTTGCTATACGTGCGTTATACGATTGACAGTTACATCTATAGTTCCCCTCTGCTTAGCGAGGGTTCGAATTCACGACTTTCGAATCTTTGCGTCATCAACAAAAACGATTGTGCTCTAATCATACAGCTTAAAGTGTTCATATCAGAAAAGAAGCAGCAACGAAAGAACAACACTAACATTATAAAAATAATACCTTAATGAAATAAATTACAAATTTCAGTTAGTTTGTTGAAATTTTTCACATATACCGTTTCTTTAAAGCGTTGAAAGTGATAATAATTTGACACGATATATTATTAAATGACAATATTTCTAACGAGGGGGAGACTTTTCCTTTGTGTAATGAAGCGCACGTTAGCGAGGAGTAAAGGTTATAAACACGTATCTTCAATTAATTTAATATATGAAGAACCAAAGTTTGTAAAGCGTTTAAAAGGTTTTGTATTTATTTTTTATCTTTTTTATTTATTTATTTATGAAGGCACTACTTTTTTTATTTATCAATCGCTGCTGTACTTTTGTTACGTTCACACAAATACTTTACGCTAATTTTTTACCTATAATTAATTTTTTTTTTGTAAATTTAGAACTTCTTATTTTTTAGTTTTTGTGAATTTGTTTTATTAGTTAGTAATTTATATTTTTGTCATTACATATATTAATTTTTCTTAATTTATTTAGAAAAAACCGAAACTTCTCAGAGAGTAAAGGAAGGAAACGTTCAAGATCGTCCTGATCTACCGGATGAGGTAAAGAATTTATTAATTTGATATATTTTTTTACAATGTAAAAGGTATGTTATCTCTTTTTCTGCTATAAAATTATATATTTTCGGCTAATTCTTTAAATTTGAGTAACTTTCCATTCCTAGATTTTATAATAATTTCAGTTTTACTTCTTTTTGGTTTTATAAATTAATTGTGCGAATCTAAAGCTTATGTATATAATAGTAGATCATTTTAGTTACTTAATTAATTATATAATAAGTAATTTCGCTGACTTTATTACTTGTTTAATCTGTTTTTTTCTGAAAAGTAACAGTTGCACGTAATATTGTATATGTATATTGCAAGTGCTTAAGATATATTTTTATGAGTGAACTTTTTACCAATTTTATGAATGTTACGAGTCATAAAGTTTTAACAAACTTTTGCAAGTTATTATGATAGAAAATTTATTTTATTTTTCTTTTTACTGTTGGTTTTTTATTAGCGAAAAAAGTCAAATCTGATTGTTATTTAATTTTTAATTAGTAGGCAGTGCCATTTTGAATAGATTTGCCTTATTTTATTCGCTTTTTTAAAACATTTTAAGCTTTGGCCATCTGTTTATTGAGTAAAAATATTTGATTTAATTTAATAATTTTTTTTATTGTTAGTTTGGAATTTTAGATTTTTATTAGTGTAACTTTTGTTATACTTTTAAAATTTAGGTTAAAAATTAGAGACATATAAAAAACTTCATATAGAAAAAAACTATAATTAAAAAAAATAAACTGTCTTTATTATTTTAATTGTTTCGTGTGTTACTGCAAATAATAGATTGCCTTGAAAATTTAAAATAGATTTTGGTAAATAACTAATAATTTTGTTTTTCCTGCTTTAATTAATTGTTCCACATAAGTTTATTTTAAAATAATTACAGCGCACACCTTCATTTGTTGGAAGGATGATAACATGTAATACTTTTAAAATCAATTACTTATAAATTTTGAGTTGTATTATTAAATTCAGTTATTGAGTATATGAACTCCTCTTCGTGCAAGATCGGAGACTAAAATTATTTTTGGTTTTTTTTTGTAAAGTCCAATTTTTTTTTAACATAAATAATTTTAAATTTATTAATTTAGTTCAAATATTTTTTTTGTCATAGATTTTATTAAAGTATAGAATTGAGATCTAATTATTAGTCAGTTTATATAAACATATGGATAAATTTAATTTTTACAACTGTTTTCAATTAGATTTAAAAAGGTTAAGTTTATAATTTTTATTACTTTAATTATTTTTAGTTATAGTCAGTTTATCTACAAGTAGCTTTTTAAATGTGTGTATTTAATTTTATTTTGGGTAAGCTCTAATGGAATTTTAAAATTTATTTTATTTTTAAGTTTTCTAATTTTTTTTTAAAAAAAATTATTTTTAATAATTAATCCTTATTAATAAATTTAAATTAAAATTTATCAAGGAACCTCTTGTAGTGGAAGGAGGTGATTTTACTCCGGAAGAATACGCTCTTCTAAAGAAGAACAGACTTTCAAATTATAAAGTTGAGGGAAAAAGTTCAGTACAATTTTTTACAACTTTTCATTTTTTATTATCTTTTTTTAATGGCTTGTTTTTACTTAAGCTTGTTTGGAATTATGCTCAGCGCCTCTTGGAAAATCTGAAAAATTAAAAAAATATGTTAAAAGTGAAAAATCTACTATAAAAAAGTCTTTATTAAACAATAAAATGCTTCTCTCCTTTGACACAGAAGAAGAAGACCTCTGAGGAAATTAAAAACTTAGATGATTTTCTTATTTCCTTTGAGTAAATTTTTTTTTGCGCAATTTCATTAGCTTGCTTTATTAGAAAATTTTAGATTTAAAGTAAATTTTGTACTTTTTAAAATTATTCAAAACTGATGATTTTACTTATATAAAATAAACTTTTTAGTCTAGCTTGTACGTTTATTTTACTACCTTTATGCATTTCTAACTATAATATCCACAAGTCATTTAAGTATTAATTTATTAGTTCTGTGTGTACAGATTTAGTGCTTTTATAATAATGTTTCCATTTTCATTTGGGTTGTCGGGAATTTATGGGTATAAGGATAAAATATGGTTTACAAAGTTAAAAGTTGTTGCTGCACTTTCATTATAAAATTTTACTTTAACAGATATTACTACTATAAAGAAAGTAAACAACTTTTGGTTTTCTCATTAACGATTGTTTTTAGCTAATTGTTTTTTTTACAAATTAAGTTCTATGTCAAATTTTTTAATTGTGTTTTTTTGAAGCTTGAATAATATTCTAGACTTTTATTCAGAGTTGTTTTCTATCTTCAAAGTTCCATATTTAGAAAAATAAAGCTTGTTTAACATGCAGAGAAACGTTTTCTTTGAATCAAAGACAAATTACACAGAGAAAACTTGATTAGATCACTATAACAAAAACATGAAGTGCATTAGAAAGTTAATATCGTTCCTTTTGGACTGATTGAATATGCAAGACTCAAGATCTTTTATCTTAGGCTGAAATATTATAGCTACCATCAAAGCAAAAATTAAGGGGTGTATTTTATACTCCAACAGCCTTTGATACTATCATAGATGTTTATGTTAATGAAATGTATTATAATTGGGGCGCAGAACGCATTTATGATAAATCTATATAAGGAATGAGTATTAAAAAATACAACACTACTGACAAAATCTTCGGGACTGATTTTAAAAACCAATGAACCATAATGGAATGGTCGCATAGTATATATAGTACCTGTACCTAATAACCCCAAGGCTAGACACACTCTTTAGATCCGTGCGACCATCGAATGTCTCCAACTAACAAATTTCAACAGCACATTTAGCCAGTAGGGATTTGTTAAAGTTGCACCAATGGTTCCGAACAGAACAGAGGTTTTAGGTAACTTTACTCATTCTACAGACCTTCCTCCAAACGCTTTCTTCCGCAACTAATTGCTACTTTAGAGTAGTATCTGCAGAACTTAGCTGCTTCCATTAACGTGGAAATGGTTTGCAAGTTGATTTTCACAGCTCTAGAAGGCAAAGCATGCACCCAACACGAAGATTTTACTACCCGCAAGGTTAATGAGCCTATAGGTTTCGAAGCAACATAGCCAACAATAGAATCAGACAAGTCTGGCTACCGAATTAAAACTAATGATAACAATAATGTCTGTTCCAAAGTTACAGGTAAGATTAGCCTGCTAACGGGCTAAGTCACCGCGGACTTTTTACCAAGTTTAAGAGTAGTTGTCTTCAACCGAGGTTTATCAAGTCCGGTTTTGGGCCCCTCCAGCGATTCTCCAAGGTAATGCATTACTCCCGACCCTTATATTGCACAGGAAGGCCCATAATCACGTTTCATTGGGTTTCACAGTTGTTTAGCTGTTTGTGTCCAAGAGTGTTAAAATATTGTTTATAATGTACAGTAACATCAAGTTGACCCAGCTGAGAAATAGAGGATGCATGACCCGTACAATAGTAGTCTGCTTCCAGGTATTAGTCCGCTTTTGGATGGCTCCCAATTGAGTACCAAAGACCGTAGCCAACCGGTATCCGCAAAAAATAAGAGCGACAGAAGACGCGAATTTTAAAATATAGGGCTAATTTTTTTTCAACCGCATTTACGATGATACACCCGGGGACAGAACCTGAGTCTTTACAAGTATAAAGTGTGTACACAACTTGAAGAAAGTCTCGAGATATGACTAACGGCCAAGGCACAAAAAGCGCCTAGCCTACCCACAAAAGTAGCCGACCTATGCAATCCAAAGTGTTTGACTAAATAACCACAAATCTCTGACTTGCTACAATTGCAGCCAAGTTGAGGTTGCGTCGCACGCCCTGCGCTAAAAAGATGATTTAAAGGTAAGATAAAGGTACCAAAATACTCGCAAAGGAAGTGCGAGGGCAACGAGAGACGCGAAAAACGCATCTCTTCAAACGAGTGGTTTAGGGTGCTTAATTATGGTACTAAGAAACACTAAATTATGTAATTTCTTAAAAATGACCCGTAAAAGGCTCTAAAAGCACTTCAGCCTAAAGAAAGATCAAAGATGGCAACAAGTCGGCCGAGGAAAAGCACTAAAAAGCTAATAAAAAGTAAGTAAGGTCGTTACTCAATATAACTAGGATAAAGCACTAGTAATAACCTGAGTACCAGGCCAAGGTCCAATAAGTCAAAGAGGTGTATGATTAGACTGTCTTACAATGACCAAAAGCCAAGCATAAATAATAGTATACCTAGTAGAGAAGTAACCTTGAAAGAAGTTAGGTTTTATTTATTTGTAAATTTTAGGTCAATTTAATATTTTTATTTGTTACTTTATGTTAATTTAATATTTTAATTTGTTAATATATTTTTTATTTTATAAGATAAATCAAATTATTTTGATTTTATGAAGAATTAGCACTAGATCTAGTACTTTTCTCTTCTGTCAGCTTGTGCATACTTGTATCAACGCTCGTCAATAATGTTATGGTACCTTCCTGAAAATGAAAAGAGATTCAGGCACCTTCTCAGACCGAGTTCTTAAAAGTCTAAGACAATATATTATATTTTACTCAGGTTAAACCACAATCAGCTAGTAGTCTTAATAGTTTCACGTTACAAAGATCATATAAAGGATTTAAGGGTAGCTAAAGAATAAACAGATCTCTTTTTTATTATAACTATCTTCCGTAATAAAGTCAATAGTATTAAGATATTATCGATTATTTTATTTCATTTGATTTGGTATTTTTAACTATTATCAGGGCATTATAGATTAATTTGTTAATTTATTTATTAATTTACTAATATAAAAATTTAAAGCTGGATAACTAATATTACTTCCTAGTTTAAGGTTACTAGTTTTTTTCTACTATATTTAATAGTTTATAAGTAGGTTCTTCCGCCTTGAAAAGTTCTACTTCGGTAGAACAAAATTAACAATCTAGAAATGCTAGCTAATTAAATGTTCTACCAAAGTAGAACGACAAAAAAGGCAAAAGTAAAGATTATCTCCAATTCGCTTGAGACCCAGGAAAGGCAGGCATTTTGTTTCTGGAATGACTATGTCACCTGTAGGGCCAAACAGCGTAAACTAGGATCAAATTTAGTTCTTTTTTTAGCTCTCCTTTAGATTAAGTAGTTAATAGGTTTAACTTTGATTTGTCTAGTCAAAGATAAGAGTTCGGTTCTCTTCTTAGCTGTTTACTGAAAAAAGTGCACGCACATTACCATATTTAGTTAATTTTTATATTATACGAACGAACTGCATGCCTGTCTTCTGGGTGCAGCTGCTGTAACTACAGGGAGAGAGGGTTAACGGTTAGGGTAAATATACATAAAACTCACTTGGAAGACTAAGTTTTTTATGGTTTTTCTCTTTTCTCTCTCTTGCTATTTTAGGTTGCCCACGGCGTAGGGACTGGGTTTATCTTGTGTGTAGTAACATACGGGACAGTTTAATAAATAATATAGTTTTTTAGTGTTAAATAATATTTATTATACTTATATAAGCCACTTATTCTACAGCGTTGCCAATAAGAAAAGAACTAACAGATAGTTCAATAAACTTGCTATCTCTTTTATATCAATTTTATTGTTATAGGCGCTACAGTAAACTAAAGTGGCTACGCGAGTAGGGGCTTTAACTAACAAAACACAAAAGATATCTTGAACCCGTTTTTAATATTTTTATACAAATTAAGCAAAGTAAAAAATGTAAAAATATCTGGTAAAATTAATTTACAAACATGGACATAATTTTCGACCTTTAGAAAGGTATAACCCAATGAGGAAACTGAGCAATAAGGCGTGGTTGTTCTACGAAAGATTTTTTTCTTTGGTTGTATTTTCTGTTGTTAAATCAAATTTAATTTAGTTAAATACATAAAAATGCGTTACATTAGTTAAAAAAAAAAATTCCTCTTCCCCTGTATTGTCCTTCTAGTAGTTGTCGCACTTAGGACGATGAAATAGGCGTGTCCGTTAGCTTTCTTTTAAAAATACCTTCCATCGCCACAGTTACATTCTTATGAAGACAAAGTATATTTTGTGCATGCATTCAATAAGATCCAATCACAATGCTCATAATTCAAACGCCTTCGATTTGATTCTTTCCTTGTCCCAATCTTTAAAATTTTTAATTACTAGGGTATAAGCATTAACCTTTGCAATATCTACTGAAGCGTAAAAGTGGGTGATGGTTACCTTCGAGTAGAACGTTTTAAATGGGATTCTTTGCTGTTATCGCCTCCTTTAGTTCCATTGTAAAACAAGTTTATACGGGACTTTTTTTTCTCACCATCCGCTACTGCATTGTATGGCCGTTGTGTGCTTAGTAAAACAAGGGCCCTTTTAGTTTCGTTCCACCACATAGAAACCAAAATCATGGATGTTTACCTGATGTTAAATCGTTAATGCAAACAAATATGAATATTGCTCTCGGTTTCTACATTTATTAATTCTTTGAAAATGCTCCTAAGATTAATTTGTATAGGCTCGACCATTATTGATTTATCGTTAGTTTATAAGTCTTCAACCATTTCAAAAGAAGTGTAATAACGTTGTTACATTTCTGGCTGTCTTATAAAGGTTTTGTTATCCTATTCACTATAGCAGTAGGCCCTATATATCCCGAGGTACTTCCTATACCTTAATTAACGTAAACTTTCATTGCTAAAAATACATTGCGCTACAATCCGCAATAATGCTTAAGATGCCATATTTTTACCCGGCGACACCTACACCCGAAGAGTGCTAACATACGTCAACGACAACAGTTGA